AAAAAAGAGAAAGATCACGATCTCTCTGACTGCAACAGCAGATCAGCGTCTGTGTCGACCTTGGGAGGTCCAAAAGGGTCTGCCGGTGATGAACCGGTTGAAACGAGTTCAGTTCGTTCGGGTCTCGCAGTCAGCAAAGAGAGAGAAGGGCACTTCTCTTCTTGTGACTGAGCAATCACTCTTAAGAGAGTGATTGTGTGTGGATTATAGCCTTGGTGGGCCATCACCCCAACCAACTAGCTAGCCAGCGCCTTCAGTGCCTACTTGTGTCTTTGCGTCCAAAGACAGACAGCACGCCAAAACTCCGCACAGCGAGACTCGCTCTCGTCCCCTTCCAGTTCCTTCAGTCGATTCAGTCGCCGTCCGCTTACCGCAAGTCATCGTCCTGTGCTTTATAGAGGGGGCGCCAAAGGTACCTGGTCAACGTGCTCCATGGTTTCGTCGAGGGGATTCGCTAATGGCAGGTATTGGCTTTGGCTGAGGCGACTGGTTGTCAGCGGGTTACTTCACAGTTGTGTGGATTTGAAGTGGACTACTTTAGCATAATCGCAAAGTAACGCGTCACAAACCGACGCAGGTCCCGCGTCGATGTATGGGATTTTATATTAGAAGCATACCGATGAGCGTCTTAGGAGATAAGGAGCAATTCTGGCGGTCCGGGCACAACAACTTCCGCTTGCCCTGCAGGACTAAACTAAGCTACCACTTCAAGTTTAACTTTAACTTTTATGCATCTCCGGACACAAGTCATTGTTAAAAGCTATATTTTTATGGCTCTGTGTGAACATGTAAAGCACTTCTCTCTGTTGTGTCTGGCTCGAGCAGCCCAACTTCAACTGAGCAGTACTTCGGCTTGTAGATGCTCAACTGTAGCTGTCTTGTAGCCTACTCCTGCTTGTTGATGATGTACTGCTTCACCTCAACCGGGTTGGCCTTGTATCCCTGTAGACGGAAGGACGAGTTCTGGAAGGCCCACAGGAAGCCTCCAAGCGAGCCAAGTACACCCGTGACAACCATAGACGGCACAGCCACGTGGCGGTGCAACTTCACTCCTGTACAAGCCCAATAAGGCACAAAAAAATTAGCGTCGTTGTTGACCAGTGCCATTTGCTGCTGTAGGATGCTTCTTCACGTACCGAAAACGTAACCGGCGGGGAAGGAGAAGGCGCTGATGCCCAACCACCGCGTGTAGTCGCCCGCATCGAAGTTGGCCTTGACGTCGTCGAAGGTCGGGTGCTTGACGATCACGGGGAAGCGCGGCTCGCGCGGGTCACGGACAGGGGCAGCGTCACTCATGGCAGCGGTCGATCTCTGCAGGACGGGCGGTCAACATTTGCCACGAGGATTTTGACCAATCAAAATATGTGGCTCCTGTACTGAATATCCTGCTAGAATAGCTGTATTTAGTTACGCAGTACCTTTAATGTTTTGTAGGACTGCCGTAAGGCCTTACTCCTAAGACTGCTCGTACCGTGAAACACATTTCATAAGCTAAGTCTTACCTAAAGTGTGGCAACATGGGCAAACAGCAAGCACAAGTTGACCACCGGTAGGATGCAGCTAGAACGTCTGTGAAATTAACTCACGCCTTTGAAGCTACTGTCTTTTAACCGTAGCAAAAATTTGCTGATCCGTATGCAGCCATGTTTGCGCTGTACTGTTAGCACTGAATGTTGCTGGGCTCACCAGTGCAGTTGCCGTTGCTCGAAACAACCACATCGAGGTTCTTAAAGTCCCAGTTCGACACCACATCCGGATTCACAAAAATGTCGTACAAGTTCTCCGCAGTGCCCTTCAGACCATCGATAGTGATGTTCGTGATCTTCACCAAACTTGTCGGCGTGCCAGCGTAGCCTCCCTTGGTCTTGTTGTAATCCGAGTGTATCGTGATAGCGTGCGTAACGTTCGATAGTTCGTTATTGGTGTACACAGCGTTAGTGACGAGACCCTTGAGTCCGATGATGGTCTTGATGCGGATTCCATTGGTACTGTTCACAATGGTGTTGCCCGTAACTGTAAGTCCGTCGACGGTGGTGGACGCATTCTGCTCAGGGCCACCAAGAGAACCGATAGAGATACCGTGTGTACCGCAGCAGTAGTTGTCACTGAACACGATATTGGTGCTCGACTGCATCGCAAGGCAGTCATCTTGGCCGAAAATACGATTCTTGGTGATCGTAACGTGGTCGTTTTTGTCGAGATCGAATCCATCTGTGTTCTTCGCGACTCCGTTACCAGCACTGGAATTAACAGTGACTCCGGTGATGGTCGTGTAGTTGCAGCTATCGACAGCGAAGGCGTGGAAAGGCATGTTCAAAACGTTCAATCCCGATATAGTGGAGTCGGCAACCTTGTACATCTTGAAAAGCCAGCGTGGTTTGGTAAGGTTCCGGGCTTGAGCCCAGTACCATGCACCTTGTCCGTCAAGCGTACCGGGGCCAGTGACAGTAAGATTGTTTCCTTGAAGCTCAACCAGCGGACCAGCCCATAGCTACAAGAAACAAGTGGAACATTGAAATGCAGTGGTTGTTAGACAGCAGAAAGTTGATGTAAGTTGGGAATCTTACCATTTTTCCGAAGGTGGTGGTACCATGGAATGAGATCCTCGTATTGTTATGCAGGTTGGTCAAATTCAGCATCACGCCTGCAGGCACTTGTAACGAGTCGACAAGGATGCTGCGGCATTCCGACACATCGGTGTTGTTGATGTAAACTCCAGTGAGAATGCAATCGCCCTTGAGGACCGGCGGGGTTTGCTCCTGCGATCCGTCTGAGCTCGTAGCATTTTGATCCGGCGTATACTGACCGGGGTTGTTTTGGTCAGGGTTGGTCTGACCGGGGTTGCTCTGCGAGGTATCGGTGCCGCTCGATTCCGCGTGACTAAACCCACTCTTGATCAAGGGAACACCATGCTTGCCATTCGTGCTGGAACGCTCGCCGGTTTGGGAGAAACCCGTATCACAGTTGTCTGACGCTTGAGTAGTGGCTCCAGCGTCGATCGTGAGAGCGCTCGTCACCAGCAGAGAAACGGCAAAGACGGAGGAGAAAAACTTCATGCTGGTTGGAAGGTGTCCGGGGAGAAGGAAAATGCAGAGTGAAGTGGAGGAGAGTGGTCATTCCATCGAAAGTGCAAACATACCAGTGTTATGTTACACAAGATCGACTAAATGAGATCTGTGCAACAACACGTTACAACAGGCAAATCGAGCGACACGCCCGTCTCAAAGGTGCCAGTCTTATTCAGGATGCGTAAGGCAAGCCGCGATTAAAGGTTGGGTAATTAAACGAGCGAATCCTTGCCAGCTTAGGGTGGAAGAGGGTGGATGCAGACCGGAGTTTACAGCAGCCACAAACTTCTTCACTACAATAGCTGACTCTTGATTCAGTCAGTCGCTGCTGCCAACGATCAGTGTACCGTAAACCCAGCGCAGCGACGAACGCCTGCATCTGTAGATGTGCTCGATAAATACGGACGGCGTTGGTATGCAAGTAAGCATACAATCCCTCCTGCTCCTCCGGGCGACTGCATCATCACCCGAGACCGCATCAACACATCGTTGGCGACAGCACCAGCAATTCCACAAAGTAGAACATTAAAGGGGTCACCAAACACCAGCATCGATAGAATACTCGTCGTGACGTGAACTTATGTCTTTGGATAATCCTGCCCTCTTTCACAGTCAGCTCCCACTTGTGCCGGCCCTCAGCAATTTTCATTCACCACCTGCGAGTTCCTCTTCTCTTTCGTACAACTATTACAATAGAAGCTGTATCATCTCGAATCAATTCAATGGCTTGACGCTTTACTTTACACGGTGCTGCTTAATATCTCGCTTCCTCATTCCTCCTCCTCTGCGAGCTCTGGCAGGTTTTCCTCGTCGAAAATCACACGGATGGTCAGCGAGCAGCTCGGGCACGTCGCGATGTCCTCGCCATCGTATAGCTCCTCCAGATCGATGGAGAAGCGGTCGCCGCATGGACACGGATAGTAGTACACCTGCTCCTCGGCGTCGAACTCCATGTCCTCGATCTCCACCTCGTCGTACACAGACGCCATCGTTCACTTTTTACTCGCTTGCCAACCACGAATAGCAACTTTTACCAAATTTCACCTGTGAAAACCGATTCACAGTAAGGAATGAATGTCATCTCTAGTTGAAGGTAACTTTTAATTTGTTTTCAACTACCGAGAGATCATGAGTTAGTTTGTCTTGCCGAACAAGCGGGTCAAGAAGCCCGAGGACGGCACTCCAGTGTCAGCAGAGCCCGCAGTTAGTCCCGAGACGCCAGCTGTGCCCATTGCTGCTTCGCCAAGTTGTGTCTTACGTCGTCCACCGCCACGAATTGGACGAATAACGCCGTCTCCGCCGTAGATGGAGCCGCCACGAAGTGTCTTGATCACGCCAGTGTCGGCACTTCCCATCGCGGCAACAAGCGCAGCGTTCGTGTGGTTAAGTTGCGCCTCAAAGTGCGATCGCTGAGCGCCACGGAAGTCCGCGATCTGGTCCCGGAGATGTGTGAGCTCCTCCACGTGCTTCTCAGCCTGCGCCCGCATGTTGCCAGCCATGATGCGGTTGTTCGCCTCGACCTGCTTGATGCGTTCATCACGCAATGCCAATTTCTTCTTGGCCTCCGACAACTCAAGCTCCAGCGACGCGTACTTACGCAGCAATTGCCGGTGAACTGCAACCAGCTGCTCCAGTTTCTGCTGAATAGATCGCATGTGCTGACGCTCACGTGCAGACATCCCACTCGAACTGGCAGCGCTGGTGGGAGAAGAAGGAGTCGAGCCTCCTTCACCGGTAGAAGCACCAGCACGATCCGCCTGTGCTTCGAGGTCGCGAATTTGCGCTGTTTTTCGGTCGATTTCCTCTTGCAAGCGGGTCTTCTCGTGGTCAGTCGCATGCTTAAGCGCCAGATACTCCTTCTCGTACTCTCTAAGTTCGGCTTCCAGCGCCGTGTACTTGGCCTTCAGATCGGCATATTGCTGGGCCTCTGTACCCTCTTTCGAGGCTTCGTCTCCCGATTTTTGCTCCTGTTTCTCAGTGGCACCTTCATCTGCACTCTCTTGAGACTCGTTGTCTGTAGACTGCTCTGCCTGGGCGATCTTTTCTGCTGCTGCTGCGAGTTTGCCGCCACCAGGTGTCGTTTGTGCAGGCATGTCTTGCAGTAGCGCATCGTACTCACTTTGTATCGTCTCCGCGTGAATCATCAGCTCCTTGTGCTCAAAGTTGAGTCTGTCGAAGTCGGTGCGCAGTTCAGCATACAACGTCTCGCGCTGACGGATCTTCTCCTCTAAAGTCTTCTCCTGTAGGTCCTTGACTCGCTGTAGTTCTTCAGACAACACACGCTGCGTGTCAAGTGCTTGAACGTGTTCTTCCAGCTTAGCTGTGAGCAAGCAGATCTCCTCACCACGTCGCATTGACTCCTGTTTCTCCTCAGCCAGTTCTTCTTCGAGCTGCGTCACCTTCTCTTGTAACTCTGCCAGAGCGCGACCTGCACGGGCCGACGGGGACGGTGGAGACTGTGAAGTAGCAGTATCCGACAGATCCAGATCAATATCGACCGCGTCCACAGTGCTGTCCACGCCTTCTGCTTTCCCAGTTTCCGATGTATCATCTGAGACTGTAACCTTCGCAACATTAGCTACATCCACTGCTCCGTCAGGTACCTCCTTCCCTGCCAGTCGAGCTTCAAGGGCGATAATGTACGTCTGCTGTTTGGCGATTTTCTTCTCAGCAGCAGCGAGCAGTGCTTCGTACTCGGCGACACTGCGCTGTTCATTCACCACTGCCTTGTTCTTGATGGACTTGGCACGCATACCGAATCGCAGAGTAGAGATTGTCTCCGATGCGTTAAAACTACTAGGCGAGACATTGATAATGAGGTTCGTGCGCGAGTTGCCACCTAGTGATTCTTGCAACACTCGGGTCAGTTTACTGTCTCGATATGGCACGTGAGTGATGTGCGAGTCTGTGAGCGCGTTGATGACCATTCCCAAAGCAGACAGCGACTTGTTGATCGTCTTGGCCTCTTCCAGTTGTCGCCCCGTTGCGCCAGTCTTTCGCACCATCTCCGAACCAGCAAGATCCACCAGATACAACTTGCCAGCCTTTGTGGCCTGATTCTCAAGGTTACGCTGGAAGAGTGTAACCATAAAGACACTGTGACTACGGGAGCTTCCTTCGTTCATCCCCGTCGCAGCCACAGCGCGATTAGCTGCACCTGCTCGCATTGCTGCCAGCAGCTCCTCGTCACTGGTCACACACACCTCCGTCATTCCCTCGACGAAGATGCCGCGCTGTGCGTCCTCTCGAACCTGCAGATTCACCTTTGATTTGTACGGATCCAGCAGATCGCGGATGCGCTCCATGTAGATCTCGATGTAACTCACTTTGACGATGAACTCCATGTTCTCATCGGCGTTCATGACGTTGTTAAAGATCTCGGTGGCTGTGCGTGGGATGATTCCCTGCAGCTCAGGATGGTCGATATTGGCTCCTTCCATTGTGTATGTCTTACCCGACGATGTCTGACCGTACGCGAAGATGGTCGCATTGTATCCTGCCATAATATCTACCCAGGAATAGTCAGATAACTCAGTAGTGACTTGAACTCCAATATTGGGCAGTACCTTGGACTACAGGCAGTGCCACGTTCTCAAAAACCGTCTTCTGGTTGTCTTCCTCTCCGAAAACATGGTCGAATGTGAATTTCTGCGGACTTCCTTCGTTGGACTGCAAAATAGCATAAAAATCCGCCGAAAAATGAGCTTTTGGTGCAATATCTTCCTCTTCTGACGCTCCTACCTTGACCTCGATCGTCTGGTTCTCAGTGAAGACGCAGCGCTGAGCTGACGTCATCGTCAGCTCCTTGGCGTTTTGCGGACGCACGCGGCAGCACACGCGCACGTTGCCCATCTCGTTCTGCAACATTTGGGAAATCGACACAAATAGGGACCAAATGACGGTCAGTAACTACGCAGAAAGAGGCGACAAAGTTGAGCAAGTCAAGGACACGCACATTGGCCGGCGAGGGACGCGCCATCGGACTCGAATGAGGCTTAGACTCGACGCACCGAGCGCCTTGATGAAGCAAGAATTGGCGACTGAGTTGAATGAGCTCTCGAAATATACCTTTCTTTGATGCGAACTTAAGGCGAACTTAACAGATACAGCTTCAATTAGGATGGCTACAAACGACAACTTTACGAAGTTGCTAAAGTGAGTGTGAGCAGCACCGGAAAGTGTACGTCAGGCACGTAATCTGGCCGTGTTTGCACGTATTCTTCATGTTTGCGGACGATCTTGGGGTCAAAATCTCGGGACTGGCTGATGATGAAGCCATGGCGCTCGGCGATGACGCAGAAGCGCTCCATGGAGCCATTGCGGCTTGGCTGTAAGAGCAGACAGCGTCCAGAACCTCGGCGCAGTAGACTATTGATGGTGTACGCGAGGTCTTCGTGGAACTCCTCGAAGAATAGACAGTCGCTGGCGAACACGAGGTCGAACTGGTGTTGCAGGTCCTCACGCAATGTGGCGTTACGGTCCCACCGCAGCAGCTCCGCCGTGATGTCTGTATGTTGAGCACGAGCAGCAAATACTTGCTGTATCTTGTTCTCTTCAATGCACAATTGCAGGTTCTTCACGGAGAGTGGGTTGCCATCCGTCACCACGACGCGCTCAAAGTCCACCGGTGCACAAGCCAACAACCCCTGGCTGGCCAGACCTGCCATGCCGCTGCCCAGTTCGCAGCACATAACAGGTAACACGTCGCCTCCAGCTCCGCGTCGCTGTACCTGCGAGCACACGCCGCTTGATAGCATGTATGACAGCAAAATCTGTTCGGACGGCCACGTGCGGATGTTGCCTGTGTTATCCACGCCCTCGTTAACTTTATGGCTCAGTAATTCTGCGATAGATACTCGCTTCACGTCCTTTCGTTTCTCATGCACAAACACCTTCGACGATCTATCTACCTGCTTATTCGTTGTCGATGACAAGTCGTAGGCCATCCACATGAAATTTTCCTGCGCAGGAGAACTCATCTGCACTTTTGCCGTATCAACTGGAGTCTCTGGATACAGCGGGAAGAACTCGGTGGCGATGGACGATGCGGTGGACCCCGTGGCATCGACTGGTGCTGGAGCTCCATTGGACGTTGAGCGCAGCAGCGCGTTCTGAAGCACTCGCCAATGACGCCGGGTCTTCTCCGGCTGTGCTGTTGCCATGCTTGTCAAACCACCATCTCCGATACAGACGATCCCCTTGGTAGTCATAGCGTTGAGAGCCACCAATTTATTCCTGTCTAAGGGTATTCCTATCCACGAATGTACCACAAAAATGGATCTGAGTACCTTCAGCTTGGAACAGTACACAAAATATACGATTTATGTAGCTCGTTACTGGCGAACCACGGATCGGACGTTGGCAGCAATAATGCTCTTGTGCAGTTATGACTGTTTTCATACAATTAGCACCCCAGAATAGGAATATTTGACTTCAAATATATTCCATTCTACTATTGAGGGGTGAGAGGGAATATTATCTTGGGTTTGTAAGTGACTGGTCAAGCTAATTTATTGCTGTTAAGGGAGTATTTCATTTCTAAGGGATTACTACTGAGAGGATCATCTGTACTTCACATATCGTTACTTTGTGAAGTAGCACAATAGTGATGTCACTATTCACTTTAAAGACTCCGATCTTCTTCAGTTCCGAGCTCACGACACCCCAAGCAAGGTCAAGATGCCGCTCGAATCGACTATGATATGGTGCGTCCACACTGTCCGATCGCCATTGTTATCACCTGCGTCATATTCCCCTCTCTTTGGACCTTCATCACCATACACTTATCGTCTCTAAACGCTCTCTATTGCCGCTGTTACGCTGCTTTTTCACAGCCTAGACAATTCGGAATGGATGCGCAATGGCGACTACATTCCCTCGCGTCTCGAGGCGCAGCACGATGCTGCCAACTTGCTGTGCGGCACCAAGACGCAGGCCAATCCGGAGAGCACTGTGGGCGTGCTGGCTATGGCCGGCAAGAGCGTCCAGGTGCTGGCGTCGCCGACGGACAACATGGGAACGCTACTGAGCGCCATCCACCGCATCAAGATCGGCGGTTCCATGAAGCTCGCTAACGCTATTCAAGTGGCGCAACTAGCTCTTAAGCACCGGCGTAACAAGACCGGCGGCCAGCGCGTCGTGGTATTTATCGGCTCGCCCATTGAGGAGGACGAGAAGCAGCTCACCAAGATCGGCAAACTGCTCAAGAAGAACAACGTATGTGTAGTGATTGAGGATTGAGGTGTTTGCTATAGTCACAATGTACTGATGAGTGCTGCGCTCTATTGTATAGATTGCCGTGGACGTGGTGAGTATGGGCGACCTGGATGCCAATGCGGCCAAGTTGCAGGCCTTCGTGGACGCCGCCAGCAGCAACAATAACAGTCACCTGGTCACGGTGCCAGCAGGCGTGTTGCCTTCGGATGTGCTGGTGTCCTCACCTGTGCTGCACGGAGACGACGGCGCTGCTGCAGCTGCCAGCAGTGGCGGCGGTGGTGGCAATGACGCCTTCGCGGAGTATGGAGGCGTGGACCCAAGCATGGACCCCGAACTGGCCCTGGTACGAATGAACTGTGATACTTTTGTTACTTAGCGCAGTACTAACGTCTGTATGCTTGCTACCTGTTCAGGCGCTTCGTGTGTCGATGGAAGAGGAGCGTGCGCGACAGGAAGCGGCTCAGAAGCGCGCGGCGGAAGCGGAGGCTGCTGCGTCGGCGCCTGCACCCGCACCTGAGCCGGCTGCACCAGCCACGGAAGCTGCGTCAGCACCGACAGAGCCCAAGCAACCTACACAGATGTCAGCGGCCGCGACTGCAGCGGCCGCTTCGACCGACGCATCGTCACCCCCACCGGCGCCAGCACCAGCATCCAACTTGCCCTTCATGGACCCCAAGTTCGTCAACTCGCTGCTGTCCGGTCTACCTGGTGTGGACCCGAACGACCCCAAGATCCAGGCTGCAATGGCACAGATGGCCAAGAAGGATGACAAGAAGGATGGCGATGAAGAAAAGAAAGAGGACAAGTAGAATGGTGAAACAGAACGGAGCGGTCGTGCCGCACAGTCAATTCACAACGTAACCTGACTAACTTCTTGTCTCGCATCGACCCAGATTCGTTCCCCTGCTCGTTGTCACTCACCGATCACTTGAACATTTTTTCTTTGCTGCAGCGGATATCTACAAGTCCTTCAGGTTCTGATCCGGATCCATGACGAATGGTTGGCGCACATAGTCATTTGGTAACGGATTGGCGTTACTTTCTCATTAATGGCTCGCTTATTAACCGTTTCTACTGCATTTTTCTTTAGCGTTGCGCCATTTGCTGTCCCACGTCCCAAGTTCTCCATTATCCGCAACGTAATTATAGTCAGCTAGCGTTCTCCTTCACATTGAAGAATTTTGATGTCGATCTCTGTCACTTGGCAACTGGAGCCTGACCCCATCAGTTCCATCGGAGCGTGGCTTCCTTGCGCTTCATTTCGCTATTTTCTCTTGGGGCCAAGTCTGAAGCAATCATGGTGCTTCTCTTCCAGCGAAAGGACTCGGTGTTGGGCGAGGAGTCGAAGCGGTTTATCAACTCGCTTCCATCCACGTTCATCAACTTGTTCCGCAAGCGACGACAACTGCTGCCAGTGTGGAGCTCGCACAAGTACTGCGCCATGATCAAGTCGACGTTCCTGGTGTACTATCGAGCCACCAAGCCGGACGATGCGGGGGTGCCTGGCTTCTGGCAACAGAACGCACTCAAGTATCTGAATCTGCAGCACTGCAAGATCAAGCTCATCGACGACGACTCGGCCGGCTACGTGTTCTGCATCACGCCCGAGTCTGGCAAGGGAGCGATCTACTTCGCTGCAGACACAGAGAAAGATCGTGCCAAGTTTGCAGCTCAAGCCGCAGCAGTGCAGCACCGCATGCCATCATTGAACGAGTTCACAACACTCAAGTTGCTAGGACGAGGTCACTATGGACGTGTGATCCTGGCGTTGAATAACGTAGAGCGACAACTGTATGCTATCAAGGAGATGAAGCTCGGTCAAGTGAAGGCGAAGGTGGTGTTCGCTGAACGAGCGACTATGGAGTGGGTCGGAGATCACCCGTTCGTGATGGGATTGGACTATGCGTTGGCACGGGGTCGCTCCGTGTTCCTCATTTCCAAGTTCATGCAGGGCGGCGATCTCTTCTTACACATGCAAAACAATGGAGGCAGCTTCCGTGAAGACGCTGTTCGCTTCTACGCTGCGGAGTTGTTGCTGGCACTCGAGCACATGCACAACATGAGCATCCTGCACCGCGATATCAAGCCTGAGAACGTGTTGCTGGACAGGGAAGGGCACATCAAGTTGGCAGATATGGGTCTTGCCAAGAGACTGGAGTCACGAGCTGGACGCACCAAGACCATGTGCGGTACCGACACGTACTTGCCGCCTGAGATGGTGGCTCGATACCCTGATGGTCACGGTCTTCCGGTCGACTTGTGGCAGTTCGGCTGCATCCTCTTCGAGCTGCGTGCTGGCTACCCGCCGTTCTACCTACCTCAATCCAGTCAGAAGAGCACACATCAACGGATCTTGTACCAACCTGTGCGCTACCCAAACAACATGTCCTCTGAGCTCAAGAGTTTGCTGGTGGCTCTGCTTGAAAAGCGTCAAGAAGACCGACTAGGCTTCCGTGGAGGCATCGCAGAGATCAAGAACCACGCATTCTTCAAGGGTATCGACTGGGATCAAGTGCTGAAGCGCCAACTCAAGCCTCCTCTTGTGCCTGGACAACCTGGTGAAGACTTCGTGGCCAACTTCGACCCGCACTTCACCGAGCAGCCTCACACAATCTACGCACCCGAAGAGATCGCGAGTTGTTTTGAACGGGACTTCGCTGGATTCGACTACGTGCGACCACTGCATGCTGGAGCGAACAACGCCCCGTGTGTATCGATGATGTCTACTGCCAAGATGAACGTGTCGCCAACTTCGTCGAGTCGCGCCAGCACTAGTAAGGACATGAGTGAGTGCATCGAGTCGAGCTTTGGGGGGTTCGGCGAGCAGCAGAATGAGGACGATAAGCCTGAGGTGGAATTGGAGGCGGAGCTGGATGTCGACTCTGTTCGGATCAAGATTTAATCGCAAAGAATTGTACGATGGCAAAAGGAATAACTATTTACTGTATCTATAATTCTTGAGCGACATGTTGTATTTGTACTTGGTTGTTTGAGTCCAATGGTACCGAGGATAATGCTTAGGACGAGCACCTAGAAACTCGAAAAGATCTCACGATATGATGCAGTCATTACCTTGCGAGGGTCTTCGTCGTTGCCCATGTATTGGTTGTTGCTGTTGGCGTTGACGCTCTTGTTCCTGCTGGTACTGACGCGTCTGTGCGTCAACCTGTCGCTTTTGCTCCTGATAGTAGCGTTCAGCCTGTCGCTGGGCCTCCAGCTCCTCCTCTGAGAGCATCATTTGGCCATCAGCAGTGACAGGAATCACCTCGTTCTCGCTGGACTCATTACTTCTATCCTCCTCACGTCGAGGTTGTTCGGTAGTAACCTGGCGAGGGGAGATTTGAGGCGACTCACGCTTGTTTCCACGCGCCAACTCTTCTTCTTCCCGCTGGAACTTGAGTGCTAATAGATAGTCTGGATCAAGATGTTCCTCGTCTTCCCCAAACAATCCACTACTCGGCATCGTGTGCTCAGCAGCTCTGGTTGTATCACCACTACCGCTGCTCATGTGCTCTCCACTAGGGGATGCGCGACCTGTGAGACTCATAGCCCTCGCTTTCTGCAACTCCTGTTCCTCATTTTGTCGCTGCTGTTGTTGCTGCGTGAGGATGTTTTCCTGCTGCTCCGAAGACGTCACCGGTCGAAACTGGGAGTCAAGATACGTTGTGTCTCCGTCAATTTCGTTCAGCAATTCCCACACGACTGTAGGCTCATCCAGGTATCCAGCGTCGGTGACCAGGAGATACAAGGCGCCTTCAAACTAACGACACCAAGACGTTAGGACAAGGGAATATTCAGTGAAGAGAGCTCGTCGAACATACCTTAAAGAGCGTGGAGAAGTGGTTATTGCGGAAGAAAACGCACAGCTGGCGTTCTCGGATACCTTCGTGCAGCTTCACGAGCCCATAGTAGGTGAGTTGACTAGCTGTCGAGTTGAAAAATTCTTCGAGGACTGGCCCTTCCTCCAACAAAGTGGTGGCAGTATCTAGAGCATCAGCATCGCTCATGTGACGCTCCTTCATCATGGTCTGCACGGTTTGCTGCGAAGGACTCTTCTTTGGAGAATTCGTTGACGACATAGAGCTCGGAGATACCGCTGTATTCGGCGAAGAAGGCGTAGAGTTGACATCAATCGACAGGTTATGAAATCCCGTCGTTTGTGTTGCTATAGGTGACTGAAGAGACGACGCTGCAGGCTTCACCTCCTCTTCGTCGATATCTTCTCTCTGTGCAATATTCGACGAAGCATCTTTCTCTACCTGTTTCTCTGTCTCTGAGGCTGCTCTCTTATTGGTCTCTTCTGTCATAAGCACACCGCGATAGTCCACTAAGCGCTCGATCAACTCATTGTACGACTTGTTCCCCACCACTTTCATCTGCAAGAATCAGTACAACAAATGAGCAACTAACGGAACGACCAGTCCTCTAGCGTCATTCTGTATCACACCGTTTTGTCGTCCTGATCATCCAGTAGCCAGCCGTGCACAAGCACAATGTCCAGCATGTCAAAGGCTGCGCACGCCACGGTATACTCAAAGTCTGTAACACTGGCAGCAAAACCCCCGTCAAGCGTCTACTCCCTCTTCTCTGCTCCTCTTAATCCATAACCTTACTTGTGGAAGCGCACGTTGACGTCTAACCCCACCAAGAGACTGGGGAGTAGCTCTGATACGTCTTGGAGCGTCTTCTCCTGTGTCAGCCGCTGCAGCTCGCTCGCATTGCTCAGCTATAGCAACAATAACCCAGTTAGGAGATTAATGTCACTTTATCCAAGGAAATCGACGCAATACCGGCGGATTCGTGTCCAACAGGCGGCGATGTACAAGCTGCATGAGGTTTTGGGCACTCACGAAACCCGGCGGTTCTACGATCCCCTCAAGCGACAGCTGTCCACGCAATAGCAAAACATTGGCAATGGCAAGAAGCGGACACGGTCCATTGGCGTTCTGACACACGTAGTGCACGGGTTTCCCCAGGAATTGCGTCTGCTTGACGGCGTACGCTTCGTCCATTTGGTGTCTCTTGGTGAGTGTCTAGTTCTGATTATGGCTGCTGGATTTTTAGGTCTGATCTTACAATTCAGCTTAAGCTTGAAATCCAGGTTGAGGTCAGATGGTGTAGAAAAGTTGTGTAAATCTAGGAAGCAAGCTAGAACAACTATGGACGGCAAGGAGGTGGAGCGTGAGCGGCCGGAGCTGCACGACCCGCATGTGCCGCGCTTCCCGGTCATCTACAAGGAGCCGACGTTCCAGCAAGTGCGCGAGAACGTGAGTCAGGCAGACCTCATCCAGAGCGTGGCTCTGGGCGTCGTGTCCTTCCCACTCGGATACATCGTCGGTGCGTTGGACTGTAGGATAAGAGGCTGGGACGGTTGAAGAGAGAATTGACGTTTCCTTTTTCCGTGCTACTATTGTCGTTGTCAGCTCGTCAATTGGACCGCAGCTTGGCGCGTCCCGGAATGTTGTTCACGGGTATCATCGGCACGCTGGGCGGCGCCATGTTGGCATACCAGAACTCGTCATTGCGTTTACAGGGCTTCGGCCGCAACGACGAAGAGGTAGCACGTTATCAGCAGACAAAGAGAAAGGAGTAAATGCTCAGACCAACATACGAGCAAGCCTCTTAGACGATGCTCATTCTTAGGCGAATTTTGCTTGCGCTGCGGGGATTCGTGCTAGCAACAGTTTTAGCTACTGGCGCCAGAGCCGCAATTACTTCACATCCGCCTACAGATAGCCCCAACTAGTGGAAACAATGCTCGTCCTTCCGTCTGCAGACTTAATTCCATCGAAGAGCAGCAGCTTCAATAGCACCCCGTTCTTGTTTCGACGCAGTTCCACCTCAATCTCTAAGCTTGTACACATAGCAGACAGCAATAAAGGAGCTACTTAGTGCAGTTTTAACACGTTAAAACATGCTGTAATTGTTAAAACGCGGTACTATTTTTTTTTCAGGGACCCGCATCTTGGTTTCAGTAAGCTTCTACTATAAAATCCCATACATCGACGCGGGACCTGCGTCGGTTTGTGACGCGTTACTTTGCGATTATGCTAAAGTAGTCCACTTCAAATCCACACAACTGTGAAGTAACCCGCTGACAACCAGTCGCCTCCTCTACAGCTCCAGCCAAAGCCAACACCTGCCATTAGCGAATCCCCTCGACGAAACCATGGAGCACGTTGACCAGGTACCTTTGGCGCCCCCTCTATAAAGCACAGGACGATGACTTGCGGTAAGCGGACGGCGACTGAATCGACTGAAGGAACTGGAAGGGGACGAGAGCGAGTCTCGCTGTGCGGAGTTTTGGCGTGCTGTCTGTCTTTGGACGCAAAGACACAAGTAGGCACTGAAGGCGCTGGCTAGCTAGTTGGTTGGGGTGATGGCCCACCAAGGCTATAATCCACACACAATCACTCTCTTAAGAGTGATTGCTCAGTCACAAGAAGAGAAGTGCTCTTCTCTCTCTTTGCTGACTGCGAGACCCGAACGAACTGAACTCGTTTCAACCGGTTCATCACCGGCAGACCCTTTTGGACCTACCAAGGTCGACACAGACGCTGATCTGCTGTTGCAGTCAGAGAGATCGTGATCTTTCTCTTTTTTTGTCCCTGTCAACTTGCAATAGACGTCGAGTATACTCACTCCTTTGATTACTTTTGTTTCCGATTTCAGACCGAGAAGGCCTACCAGAAGCAGCAGGGCGTGTTCCTTGCCAGCAAGAAGTTCGCCGGCAAGAAGAAGGGCCCCCGCTTCTACAAGGAGGTGGGTCTTGGCTTCAAGACCCCCAAGAGCGCCATCGAGGGCCAGTACGTGGACAAGAAGTGCCCGTTCACCGGCAACATCTCGATCCGTGGCCGTATCCTCAAGGGTGTCGTCCTCTCGACCAAGATGAAGCGCACGATCATCGTGCGTCGTGACTACCTGCACTTCGTCAAGAAGTACAAGCGTTTCGAGAAGCGTCACAAGAACGTGGCTGCCCACCTGTCGCCTGCCTTCCGTGTGAAGGAGGGTGACGTCGTCACCATCGGCCAGTGCCGCCCGCTCGCCAAGACGGTGCGCTTCAACGTGCTGGAGGTCGAGCCCGCCTCGGAGACCAAGCCCATCAACGTGCGCAAGCAGTTCCGCCAGTTCTAAGGCTAGCAGAGCAGAAACTGGTTGAGTGTTGGGCGGTAGCTTTAGTATGAGCTACGCAACTGTTAATCCGATGCTAATCAGGGGATTTCAAACACTATTCAGTCATGTTTGCTTTTGGTCTTGGATATTCATTACTACGTAGTAGTTCGGATTCCGAACTTCGGAAACTGCAATGCATGCCCCTCATCTAAGCGTTGATGCGTGCCATGATTCATCATGACCCATAAAACATGACTTCGAATCTAATTAAGGTATACACTTTGCATAACGGCTCCAACATTGTGCTCACACATATCTACGGGTTGAGAGTGAGTGTTAATAGACGCTACAACGCAAACAGGCTCAAGAAAATAAAACGAGAACAAGCAAACAGAAGAGTTGAGCATGATATTGGAGTTCTTCGCAGTAGTGGGCAACATCAGCGAAAAGAAACTTAGCAGTGGTGTGGATGCTGGCCACTATCCTATCAGGGTCGAGGAGTTTCAGCCTCCTCACGTCAAGTCGAGACTTACAAGTCGTCTTTACAAAAACGCACATAAAAAAA